CTTTCTGTTACATTGGAAAGTTTTGTCGATTACCGTCCTGGAAGTTTATCTATAAAATATATGATATCCTAATTTCCACTCTTTAAATATCTTGGGTTTTTTTATTTACAATTTTATTTTTTCATAGTTTACACGGGAGCCAGAATGCCAATTTATGAAATTATTCGTCAAGATGTTTTCCACTTACCTCCCGCTAGTCATTTCACTGTAAAATCTACCAAGGATTCTTCATCAGGTGTGTATTTCTTAAAACATTCATCATCTACCCACCACAGAAAACAAGTCAGAAGTTATCCTACAGCAGAAACTATGTACTACGGAAAGTACAAAAACTAAAGTAATTCAGGAGAATCAATCAGATTTTATTATTCGAGCCGCTTTAACCGGGATCATATCTGGATCTTTTGCTCAGTTTTTAGCCAGTCCCATAGATCTAATTAAGGTGAGTCGTAAATTTATTCTCATTTTTTGTTTGAGGATCAAGTTTTCATCGCGTGGTGTTTGACGTTGTACCTTTTTACGCCTGCAAAACGATTTCAGATCTTACGGAGAATCTGACCAGCGCTTAAACTGAAACAGTGTATTCAGACGAGTAGTTGGAAAACCCTGATTCTAAATTATTGGTATACATAGGCTGCTGGATCCTAAGAGTATAGATAACCTATGAACCCATCGTTTCTCGCTGTCTGGTATGAGACTGCATCTTCTGATGATCCTGCCTTTCCTTGTTTGTTAGACCTGTTTTTCAAAGCCTCGGATATTGGTCTCCTAAACAACCAGCTACTTTGGTCTAGGCACCTGTGCAATACCCCACCTCACTCATAAATTCAGTGATTTGTGTAGTGCATAAATATTTATATTCCGCTTTGTGCCAATATTCCTGATCTTAAATAAATAAAAAAATTTATTAACGCTTATCTACCACTCTTCAAAGTTTGAATTTTTGTTAAGAAATAGTTAAAATTTAGCATGTATTTAACCAATCAGTCAATCAATAATTGTAAATTTGTCATTTCGTTTAGGTTCGGTTACAAACAGAACGCAAATGGATTTCAGAATTACATCTCAATGATTATAAACCTTCTAAACCTACTGAAATGCCTATTGGTCACCAGTAAGTAAGTCTAATAAGTTCAGTATGAATTTTGATTTTTTTTATGATGTTAACTGTATGAGAATTCAGCGGTCATCAACTCCCTAGGATGCCTAATGTTTTAGTATTTTAAGGTGAGTGTGCGCTGTTGGATTTGCGTATTATATTTGATTATCCTCAAGGTTAGGGCAGTGTGAGTAATGATACTGATAGGAAGTGAAAGTGGGAAGAGCAATTTATTGATTAAACGAAATCCACTCAATGTGTACTCATTCCGATATATGTTCACTAGAAAATTAAGCCACTAATGGTATATGTTTCGTACATTGCCAACCGTAAAAGAGCGGAGCTAATACTCAAAAATCCTTTCATAAAAGGCCTTAAGTAGTTGTCCCTTGGGCTCTGCGGTCACGCTCCCAGGTCTCTAAGACCAACATTAATCTACCTTCCTTTCGGGTCCCTCAAGAAACAACCTTCGACGGTGTGGGCAGCCGGGAAGTGATAACAGCCCTCATAGTCGTCACAGCACGAGAGACCACAATGGTCAAAATCAAACCCTTCCTACCCCCGTAATACCTCTTTTCTCTCCACGACTAACTCTACTCACATTCCCTTATCTCACTGCGCTGCTAATGCAAACGATGCCCCGAAGGGTCTACAGGCGGAGTTCGAGTCCTGATAGATTGACCCCTGAGATTTTTAAGGGTGGCGATCCAGTTTTAACAGTTAGGGTATGTCTGCACCTCTGTCATTTTGCTCCGAAAGTAAAATCAGCTAGCGTTTTATATGTTCTCAACTGTATTTTATTTTCAAATTGTTCAATTAATTCTTTTATATTATTGTATTCGTAATTAATTTACTTCGAAATAATTTAATTTGCTCTAACTTTCAGACGCCTAAGTTTTATACGTACAACTAAGCAACTTATTGCTGAAGGTGGAATTATTGGATTGTGGCGTGGAGGATTACCTAATGTACAACGTGCAGCTCTTGTAAATATGGGTGAACTTACCACTTACGATACGTCAAAACGTTTGTTTGCTGTACGTTTTCAATTAGAAGTGAGTTGTACTGGAAATGTATATTTATTATCTGTTTTTTTTGAAATCATGAGTCGATCAATGTTAGATCATCATTAGAAACCTGCGAGTACTGAACGGACATTTCGTCCTGGTATGGAACTCATCAGTGGCAGTGCGCATCCACGACTCCTGCCACTTGCAGGATTCGAACCCAGGGCCTTCGGGGAGAAGACGTGATCTGTGTAGTTCAACGCTGCCGGCTAGTCAGTCAATGCCGAAGACAAATAGGTGAGGTCGCGAGAAATCCCTAGATAGATCAGAGTTGGACATTAACACTGTTGAGTACCGGCCCAGAGGTTCGGCGTTCGCCGCAAGACCATAGGTTCTGGGTTTGAATCTTGCGAGTAGCAGAGGCTTTGGATGCTCACTGCCTTTGATGACTTCCATAGTAAGACGAAACGGCCGCCCAGTTCTTCTAGGTTACTAATGATGGTGTAACAATGATCGATTCCTGATTTCGATTTGTAAAACCAATGATCTCCATAACTTAATGTTATTGATACCACCACATATATTACTTTCATGTCGCATAGTAGCATACATATTTCTTTTTCAAATTAAACTTGTCACCTTGCAAAAAAGACACTAGTGTAGATAAAATGTTTTCCGTTTTTTCTACCCTTTCAAAATGTATTTTAGGATGGTACTCTACTTCACGTGTGTGCATCCGTTGCATCGGGTTTTGTTGCTGCAGTACTCGGGACACCAGCTGATATGATTAAAACACGAATCATGAATCAACGTATTACAACACCAACCACATCAACGTCGTTATCAATAAATGTCAATGATCAATTATATAGCGGAATGATTGATTGTTTTCGTAAAACTGTCCATAATGAAGGATTTTCAGCATTGTATAAAGGCTTCTTTTTAATATGGGCACGTATGGTAAGATTAATATAGAAAGAAAGAAAGACATTTTTAAATAATTCCCAAATTTTTTATTGAAATTGTTGATAAATAGGGATCAGTGAGTCAGTTACAACGTAGAACTTCGTACGAACATAGATCAGTTCAAGTCGCCATACTGCATTTGCACAGAGAGTTGAAATTGTCATTTTAAATCCCATAGTGTTCGATGTGCCATGTTTAGGTTTGACCGCTCCTGGCTTTCTTCCAGCTTACTCCTACATTAGTCGATAGTTTGGCATTCGTAACACATGTCCCAATCACCTAGATTGATTGAGGTCTCACTACTTCGTTAATCGACTCGCCATCCTTACCTCGTTTCTAACAACAGCATTGCTTTGTCGATTGTCCCAGGATACACAAGCAATGCTTTGAAGATACCTATGGTTTAAAAGCAATATTCACGAATATCCTGTACTTTTCTTACTGTCTATGTTAGCAAAGTGGCGAAAGGTAATCAAGCATTCTGTATCCTTGTCGAGATTCTTCAGACAGCAGGATATCAGCACTGATGAGACTCCCAAGATAAGTGAAGCGGTCAACACGCTGGACCGCTTTACTCCCTATCACTAGTTCAAGCGCCGATACACACCAATCCTGAAGTAACATTTTGCCATTCATATGGCCACATGTATGTAATCACTTCAAAGGAAATCTTACTCGCTATCTTCTCATTAACGGGCCTCTAATTATGAAATGAATCAGATGGAATTTTATTTAAACTCAAACATTGGTACAAAGGGGCACATGAATACAAATTAATTTCTGAATTTGTGTATGGGTTGGGATATTGTTCAACTGCTCAAACCGAAACAGTTGTTTTTCTTAGGCGGCCACTCACCGAGCCTTCGGCTCAGAATTCTAATCCACAAGGCTGTGGAGTGATGAATATAGTCCCGTCGTAGCCGGTGACCAACAGCAGGTTCATATTATATCCGTTCCATCAGGATCCTGGGTTGATATATGCACCTTTGGTTTGGGATCGGGGTTTTCCAGCTCCTCTAGGTGAACCTTCTTTACTTATCAAGCCGGTTTAATCGCTTTCCAAACATTCACTTTTTGTCCTATCAATTTCTTAAACAACTCACCGGTAATGAGAAGGCTAACACTTCCTTGTCAGTGGCTATAAACGTATGGTCATATGCAGGCGTCTTAGATTCCACTGCTAGCCACACTGTCTATCTATCCTATATAAGGTTGTAAGCAGTTGACGAGAACTAGACTAAATAAAATGAATCCATATTATTCTTCCCAAGATTTTGCTTACTCTCTCCAAGATGATCAATGGAACTATGTGTCTGAAATTGTGGCCTCAGTTTTTCTAAATGTTAGTTATAGACGTATATTCTGCAATATTCTATTCCTGCTTCTTGTCAGAATTTTGTGTTGGAGTTTCGATCTCTGAGCTGGATACTTTACTTGTGGAGCCTTCATCATTCTTCTGATCAAAATCATCATCACCAGCACAAACTTCAGATAAAAGAAGTGAAGTATTCGAATTTCTCCACGTTTGACTCGTAGCTTGTTCTTTTAACCTCGATTTTAATCAGTTTAAGGTCAATAACAACCACTCAAGATGTGGTGAATTTCGAATACTTCACTTCTTAGATCTGAAGTTTTTACTGATGATGAAGTTGTTCAGTAGAAGAACAATAGAAGCTCCACAACCAAAACATCCAGATTCGAGGGAACAAAACTCCACTACAATCATCCACCCGAGCTACAAATTTTCTGCACCATGTCAGAATTTGAATATCCTTTATTTGCTCTTTAATTTACAGGCACCTTGGTCTTTAACATTTTGGGTAACTTATGAAAAAATTCGATGCCTAGCTGGAGTTGATGGCTTTTGAATATGTCAATGAATGTGGATTTCAATCAATATGTAGTTGGTCAACTGCTGCTGCAGCTACATATTACTTATAATAAGAATAGTAGTAGATTAACAGAAGGGAGAAAATACTCGAAGAAAACAAATCAATCTTAATCTTTCTTATTTACTTAGAATTCTTTTTATAATTTTTTAAATATATGTCTTATATCATTTGAAATGCTTCAAACACTTTACTGTAATTATATCTATAATGGAAATTATTGTTAGATATTTCTAGTCAACCAATCCTTTTTGAAAATAAAATAAAAAATTAATTTAAATGTTGTTATTTCACTTCACAATTTCTATGACATGGTTGTTTTTATGGACAAAGTTCGTTTTTCTTACTTCTTCTGCTCGAATCGCTCGTATACATTCAAGTTTTTTTTTAAATCTTCGATTAAGCTAATCCTAATCCGCTGCATTCCCGTCAACGTGATGGAGTATTTTTTTAAAAAATTGAGAAAACGAGTATTTGACGTTTAAACTTTGTTTGTGAATGAATGTAAAGAGGTTTATCTAGAAAAAGGTTAACAATGAAAACGTTCTGTTTCTCCACAATGTAATCGCTTTTTTAATCAATGCACACTTTTTCGGTGTACAGTTGTACTAGAATTTACGCGTATTCAATAAAGTTAAAGGTTATTGTTTCATACACACTTATACACCGAATATCACAAATAGTGATTGCATAACATTGTGAAAGTAGTTAGTCATTCATTCAGTTACAACGTAGAACTTCGTACGTACATTAGCTCATGTTGCCATACCACTTTAGCGCAGGGTCATCGAATTTTCAATAGAAATCCCGTAGTGTTAGAAATCGAAGAAGTATTAGTGATTAGGGTTCGAAGAAACTACTTAAGATGTTTGATTCAGTGAAACAGAGTTCGAAAGCGAAAGATAGAGGTGAATGATGACTTACTAACGATGAATGTCAAATTTCGACGATCAATAGGAGGAGAAGAAACCAAGTTGAAGGATCAATCCACAGTTTCCTGTAAACTTTGTTCTTCTTTTGAAAGAAGAATGAAAGTCCACCAGTAGAGAAAATCTTCGTGGTGGTTTCTCGTTCTCTGAGCTGGATATTTTGGTTGTGAAGCTCACATTGTCCTTCTAAACAACATCAGCACGAACTTCAGACACAAGTGAAGTATTCGAATTTCTGCACGTTTGACCTTAGGCTTGTTCTGCTAACCTCGATCTAGATTGGTTGATGTTGACCTTAAACCTGTCGTTCTTTGTACCATTGTTCTGATCGTATGCCCCCTTTGATCTGTTTGTTGATCCTATATCGCCTATTTTTCTTCTGATTGGTTGATAAATTGGGTCAATGTCGATGTGTTTGTTGAATGCTGATTGACTTGAGTGCCGAACTTATAAAAATTCTCTAGTCTTTTTGCCCTCCCTATCCAGTATTCCCACATTGTTCTAATCGAATGTATGTCCATAATTGTCGGTATGTAATGATGATATAAGCAAAGAAATGTCTTGGCGTTTGATTGCTAATTGGTGTTCATGTAAACTGAGCTGAAGAGGCCGTCCACTTTATCGTATGCAGTGTTTTTCACAGTCTGAGCAATTTATTTTGTAGATGAAGTTTGGTTTTACTTCCTTTGTCCTTTAGTCTACATAGGATTGATTGAAGTGATTCTGTTGGTTTGTGTGCCACACCTATTCCAAATGGTTTCCGTAGTGGTGCTGTATGCTCAGATATGTCTTTTATGTGTGTAAGAATGGTCCCGTACCTGATTCCACTTCTGTTGATGTTTTTTGATGAAGTTGTGTGGATAGCTGTTCTTCTGGAAGTCGTCTGGAACATAAAGTCTGCTAGAACTCATCGATCTATGCTTAAAACGTATTTTCAATTCAACCTGAGCGACAAATTTTCTTCACCATCTCATGAAAAACTTTGTCTTGGCCGTTTGCATTTACTGAAACTGTACAATCGTATTTATAGTTAGTTTACTGTGATAAAGTAATACGGAGAGGTATGACAGGCTTACTGATTATGATAATAATAACCTAATGTGGTATCATATGATGAATTATTTATAGAAAGAAATCAACTACTGAAAGGAAGTTATGTAATGATTGGCTAGTGAAGGGTGCTATAAACTGTGTTGGTTATAGTTCACTGCTTGTTCTATTCAAACAGCTTTATTTTCAATTAAAGTAAAGTCTATTCAGCTTTGAATACCTCTAAAAAACATTGAAGCATATATATTTCGCTTCATCAGTGCAATACAGAGATCATAACAAGTTAATCTCATCATTCAAATCAAATGATTTCGTTGGTATTATATGGATTTGAAGTAATTTATTACCTTCATTTTGACCTTATGGTGTTTATTACGTTTCAGTGAAATCATGAATCTGTCATTGATAGAAAACTAGCAGAAACGTGGAAGCACTGGATGGACGTTTTGTCCTAGTATGGAACGTCGATAAGTTGCACATACACGACCCCTTCTCCAGGGACCGACTCATGATTTCAGTGCAGCTCAACAATCTCCATGACTCTCAAATGAAAATCATAAGAATGTGCTCAATGGTAAGCAGCTTTGTGAGGAAATTCTCGGAGTACTAGTGAGAAGCCGTGACCAGTAGATTTCAATCTTGTCGGGTGTAGGCAGATACCCACCAAAGAATATGAGTGAGGCTGTGAGATGCGTGGGATTGATTAATGCTAGACATGAACATCAGTGGATGCCAGCTCAGTGGTCTGGAGGTGAAGCGTTAGCATGCGTGATCGGAAGTCTTGGGTTTGATTCCCACGAGACAGGGTCATGAATGCACACTACTAAGCAGTCCCATAATAGGTCGAAATGACCATCCAGTGCTTCCACGTTTCTAATGGTGGTCTAACAATGATCGACTCATCATTTCAATAGTTTTTTATTCACTCAAGCAACACATTTTTTCAAATTATTCAAACTTATCAGCTTGTATGTAAAGAAATACGATGAATTCACCGTATTGTTTGTGTAATAACATTCTTGCTGTATTTAAACACGAATAGTTTACTAGAGGTTGAGACATTAGTACCGAGTTTTAAGACCTTTATATCTTACTTGATTGACATGTTCCTACTGGAACTTAACACTGGATAACTCTATTGATCATTTAATATAACGATGAGATATTGGATGATTATGAAAGGCAAAACTGTTGCATACCTAGGCTATATTGTAAGTCTATGGGAGGAAGATTGCTTGAAATATAACGAACGAGTCTTGTGAAGGTTGACTACAGTAGGTTGTTGTTGCTGATGGATCCAAAGTATTTTTCGTAGAGAACTATTATTTAAATACTTGTGTATCTTCTAGATGATTGTTTTCGTAGTTTCCGCCCGCCATACAGTAGAACTAACTTTCTTGATATGTTTTTTGAAAATTCTGATTTTGGTGTTGATTGATAATTATTTTGAATTCGAGATATTGTTGTTCACTTGTAGAAAGAAATACAGCCCTTGCTTTACCGATCCGCGCCTTCACATCTGCATCGGATCCAGCTTGATTGTTAATGATGCTGTCCAGATATGTAATGGCTTTTACATCCTTCAAGGCACTGATAAAAGATATATCCATATAACTGATTATGTAATCAGATTTAAAACTCAATGTTTAATTAGTAATCGATTATTTCTAAACATGTGAATAGTTTTTTTCAATGTGTCTTCATAAATCTAACTGTATAAAAATAAATTCACTTTTTTAATCTTTATTCAATGGATCCTAATCGGATTGTACACACCACTTTCAATTATCAATATTTAAAATATTATGTTTAAGTTAAGATAAACAAAGAAATATGTAACGAAATTTTAAATTAACTAATTTTATTCTTTCCGTTTTTTTTAAAAAAAAATTTTATTTGATTAATTTGTAAGATGTAATTACCATAGTGACGAGTAAAATATAAGAGTAAACAATTTTAATGGTTTTGTTTATTTATATTGATTATGAAAGAATAATTGATTGTAAGACAAGTGCAAAATTCAAATTTTTGTTTGTTTAAAATGTACTTTTCTTTGATTTTTTTTCTTATCTAATCGTCTCCCTCTTTCAATACTACTGAAATGAAAACAAACAACCATTAATTTATTTGAGTAATATAATTAATATTCACAGCAACATCTTCATGATCATGAGAACAATAAGGATAACGATAATACTACTACTAATAATAATGATAATAATGATACCAAATATGGATCCATTCAATAGTGAAGATAGTTAAATGTCCAATAAATAACTTTTGTTTAAATTTTGTACTATTGTATAATTATTTACTTTCTTAAAACAAAAGATATACCATACATGGAATAATAAATTTATTATTATTATTATTATGAATGAATAGACCAATCATAATTTAACTCTGTAAAAAGTACATTTGTATCCTGTATTTATTTTTATTGACTAAAACAAAACAACATGAATTTATTTGAATTTGGGAAAAAATAATTTCCTCCTGAGATGATCATTTTCTAATTTATTTTTTATTAATTAAATTTGAGGTGAGTTAGTTTTATTTTAAACAGTTTAATTTAATTTATTGAATAAATAATCCTATAATCATGATTAATTGTTTTGTATATCGAGTTGAGCTGGTTAGGACATGTGTTACGACGAATGCCTAACCACCGACTGCCGCGACGAGTGATGTTCTATGGTGTAGGAGTAGGTTGGAAGAAAGCTAGGGGCGGCCAGACCAAAACATGGAAGAAATCCATGAAGTCACTGACAAATGGACTGAGTCATGTTGGTAGATGTAGACTACCAGGTTCGGTTCCACGAGACAATAGTAACCGATGTTTAGAGACCTAGAATGACATGACTCAAAATTGTTTGCAATGGCGCAAGTGCATCCATTCGTTGAACTCTCTCAAATCTTAATCTTCTGAATTCGTTAGCACCTCTACCTTTGTCTTTCTAATCTTATCTCACTGAATTATACTTCTTGAATAATATCTTCAAACCCTAGTCTTCTTCATTGCCATTAATACCTCTACTATCTCTATCTCTCTGTGCTAATGTGGTATGGCAACCTGAACTTATGTACATACGTACGAAGTTCTACGTTGTAAATGACTGATATCGAATTAAGTATAATTTACTATGCAGTGTTGTTCACTAACCAATAATAATGATAGATCAAGAGGTCAGTCCAGATAGCCCATCGGTAACATGTTTGCCTGTATTAGTTGGATGACATCAGTATCAGTTCTCTTACATATCACAGTTACACTTTGTTGATCGATCAGTAAGTACCAAAGAACACGAAATCTAGATGTGAATAAAGTTTCACTGTTGTCTAGCTCCAATCATCAGCTTTCACCTCTTCTTAATGTAGTGCACACGATGTTGGATCACTACCTAGATTGATGATTACATTGTAAATCGATCGATAAAAATTTGATCAACACCAAGAATGACCAGAATTTAAATTTATCAAAAGAAGGATTTGTTTATATTTCATCCTGAAATAATTATTTTCTAATTTCAAATGAGTTGTTTACTTTTTTCTTTTAAAAATCTTAATTTTTGTTTAAAATCATACAATTGGAATAAATGTAATTTATTGTTTTAGTTGATTCAATGAAATCAATTGAGGTAATTTTTTTGAAAGTTTGTTGATCATTTTGGTTGTATAATAAAATGTAATCACTCAACCAACCGCATACCAGAAGAATAAGGCATTTGATTCAATGTACAATAAAGAGTGAGCTATAACTACTTTTGTTTTTATTGAAATTAGAATCCAATATTTCAGTAGGAAGAAATTAATTCTAATCGTGAATATTAACAACTTGTCAGTCAGTCAATTACAACGTAGAACGTCGTACATACGTACTTACATCAGTTCAAGTTGCCATATCAAACTATCACAGAGACGCACTTGTCAATTCAAATCCCATAGTAGTAGAGGTAGTAAAGTGTTAGCAGTAATCAGAGAAGATGAACTCAAAAAGAGTGGGATAAAGGTAATGAGTAATTCAGAAAATTAGAATTTGAGAGAACACAAATAATGGATGCATCTGCTCCATTGCAAACGATTTTGAGCCATGTCGTTCAAGGTCTCTAACCATCGGTTACTATCATCTCGCTGACGCCAACCCGTTAGTCTACAATTACCAACATGACTCAATCCGGTTGTCAGCAACTCCATGAATTTGTGCCATGTTTTAGCTTGACCGCCCTTAGCTTACTTCCAACCTATTCCTACATCGCAAAACATGGCTCAACGAGGTAGTCGGTTGTTGAGCAGTGGTAACACATGTCCTAACCACCTCAACTGATGAAACGTACACCTTTAACCGCCTAACCAACAAACTCGAACCAACTTTGTCCTGCTCCTTCTTTTTCCAGTTCTATCCAATTATTATTTATTCTTTTCAAATGAGGTCTTGCCTCGTTTTGTAGTTAAATGATTTCCACCATGTGTGACCTAAGCACTACCAGGGCTATGTTTAAATTTCTTCCTCCGCCAGAATGTACTTATTTTCCAATAAGTTCTCTCTTTTCATTTGTTTTAACATGCAACAATTATGTCCATGAATCACATAATTGATTCAAGCTTATATCTTTATATATATATATATATATATATATATATATATATATATATATATATATATATATATAATCTCTCGCTTCTTAACGTACCAAAAAAGATACGATCCGAGGTATCACTTACTTACCTAACTTAATTACGCATTCTCCGACCTGTTCTGACTGGGTCTCCCTTCATAGTTCTGCCCAATTTTCATCGATTCTTCTCATGTCTGTCTCCATTTCTCAGCATAATATATTCCTTGACCTTCCTCTTTTCCTCTAACCTTGAGGGTTCCAAATGAGGTCTTATCTTATGACATAGTTAGCTGCTTTCCTCAATATGTGTCTTATCCACTTACAGCACTTCTTCCTGATTTCTCACTTCACCGAAATCTGGATCCAAGATATCACAGTCGTTGGCAGTAATTAATGTGCATTACGGGGTTGTGAAGATTGTTAAGTTACACATTTTGTGAGACCATGAATCGATGATCAATGTTAGACCACCATCTCTAGTGACTAGCTTCGTGAGGAATCTTCTCTGAGTTCTAGTGGGAAGACGTGACCACTGTGAAGTTCAACCTGTTCGGGTGTAGACAGTAACTACGGAAGACTGTGTTTAAAGTTGGGCAACTCCGTGAATTTGATCAAGTTAGACAGTAACAACGTTAGATACCGGCTCAGTGGTCCGATGGTTAGGCGTCCAAGCACAGTATCGAAGGTCCTGGGTTCGAGTCCTGCGGGCTGCAGGAGTTGTGGATGCGCACTGCCACTGATGAGTAGTCCCATACCAGGACAAAACGGCCGTCTTCCAGTGCTTCCAGGTTTCTTCTAATGGTGGTCTAACACTGAAAACGAAACTTGTTGAAATACTTCCTTATGCTGAGAATTCTATACAAAATATATGTATATAAATTGTATGAAAACATGTAAAATATTGAATAAAATCATTTATATTACTATTATTATTGTAAAATTTTTATTTGTTCTCTTTATATTTAATAATAATCATAGAATAAAATAAATCATGGGTTCAAATATTAGTTCAACAAAATTATCTTCAACCAATAATAATAATAATCATGAAAATATTTTACAAATTTGTTCAGAACATACAACTGGCATTAACTGTTTAGCATTATGTGAGAAAAATTCCCTATTAGCCAGTGGATCAGATGATGGTTTAATTTGTTTATGGCAATCGAATACAGCTGATGGTGTATTGACAAATTTAACGTGTACACATCAATTCACTGAACATCAAGGCTACATTACAGAATTAATGTTTCATCATAATTATTTAATATCGGCCGCATCGGATGGTACAATACGTAAATGGAATTGTAATTTAGGAAAATGTGAATATGTAAGTTGTAGTATTTAGTATTTAGTATTGTTATTATTATTATTATTATTATTATTATTATTATTATTAAAATAGTTCAATGTAATGTGTAGTATGTGTATGTTGAGCTTACAGGGCTCGGTCCTAGCCTTGGGACAAATTAATTAGAGAAATGAGAAGACATATTTTGTGAGATAGTAGTACCGTTTCGTGCTTTCTCGTCAGTCACATACAAGCAACATGTTATTTGTGTGTAAATACAGTTTTGAAGATAAGGTCAAAATTTCTTATTTAGCATGATATTCACTCACTAGAACCATGGTAAACAAAGGTCAACATACAGTTGTTTTTGAACACATAAAGTTGGACTTTTCCGACCAATCAGGATAGCTTCGAGTAGTTTCAGTGTGTGTGGGTTTTGATGACATGTCACAACTCTAAAGGCTGATTTTGGGTCAATTTGATGACTACTCATCATTAGATGTTTTGCAATGGACGAGGCTGGGTTTCTTGATTGATTTTGAGATGATGGGCTAGGTGGGTGAATCATGAATTTGATTAACCATTTTGGAATGTGTTCCCCTATCCTGTCTTCCAATCGGCGATCTGTCCTCCCTAAGTGACTGACAAGAAAGTACGAAATGGTACTATCTCACAAAATATGTCTTCTCACTTCTCTATTCAAATTTATCAAAGGGAACCACTGTTTTGAACAAATTAATTAGTCCACAATTCTCTCAAGTTATTATTATTTCGTCTTTTGACTGTGTCAGTCATTCGATCATAATCTTGGCTGCTTTAATTCGAGTGTGTGTGTGCGTGTGTATGTACGTGCAGGCTTACCTCGCTTATTACATGTCCGGCTTATTTTTGTCTGACCATAAATTCTCGGTCATGCTTCATAGCAGGGAGTTGGCTCACTTGCCTTCTCCGCTTTGCTTTGATTGGTTGTGTGTTTCATTATCATCCAACCGAATCCGTACTTGGTTTCTTATTAACACCGTTGCACAAACAGAGTTCGCCTAAGTATAATATACAGAAACTAATGGGAAGATTTGCCTCATAGCATACTTGATCATTTATAAATATCGGAGCCAGATTGCGGGCCACAAAAAATGTATATATAAACTACTGACAGTCTCAAGTCCGGACACAGGCGAGGGGTCGGGCATGGGGTTAGTGACCCCATCTCGTAGAAAACTAACTCGTTAAATAAGTGCTAAACAGAATATATAATTCGAAATCCTTAAACTCTGCCTTGGGAGTTAAAAGGTATTCATTTAGAAGAGTTATGAAGTCTCATGATGAAAGCCAAGTTTCTTCGGACGTCACGTGGCCGATGCCCCTTTTGGCAGCCAGAGTGTAATAATCAACCAATTACTTGTGAATGGTTATTTGTTGGAAGGAGAATAGTTGAATTCTATCTTTTCTGTTTATGCTCTTCTGATTATTTCCCCATTAATACATGGATTCTGCAGTCAGTCTCTATTTATGTACTATAAACCCTTCCTAAAGTATTTCGGTTTAGTTATTGTTAAAAAGCTTTAATGCTCTTATTCCTTCCGTTATCAATAATGACAGTTACTTCTTATTATTATTTGAATTATAAATCAATCATTGTTAGTGCGCCATCAAAAACCTGGAAGCAGTGGACGACCGTTTCGTCCTAGTATGGGATTCTTCAGCTGTGTTCATCCACGACCACCGCTTTCGGGGATCGAACTCAGAACCTCCGGTCTCGTGCGTGACCACTTACAATCTAGACCACTGTGTTGGAATTCAACCTTGTCAATGCCTAACTCTGATCAATCTAGAAATTTTACATCCCACAGGATTGAGCTCCACCGGTCACTTCTTTTCACTCGTGAATTCGGAGAATTTCCCCACAAAGCTAGTCACTACTGAGTGTATTGTACGACTTTTCATTTTAGAGTTAAAGAGATTATTGTTTATTATTGAAATCATGAATCAATCAACACAAAATTACAGAGTTACTCAGTCAAATAAGAAAACCATATCGTAAATCGTTAATTTGCAAAATATCAATCCATTGTCTGTCGTTTCACTATTCATGCGTTTCATACAAATTCAATTGTGTTCTAACTCTTCCTTTCTTGATCTTCCCCCATCTTCTGCTGCCAGACAATACGTTGACACTCACGTCATATACTACTTATAAGTAGCTCACACCACAATATCATTGAATGACGCGACTGAATAAGTAAATGTTAGTTTGATTAATCAATAATAAATGACAATGAATAAAATTTTAGTCACTGTTTATATGCGAAGTCACGATGGTCATTGATTAAAAAGGCTGTGGAATATATAGTGAAATATGTATTTGAAAATTGGATTAACTCACTCACTTGTTGAATATATGCGCTTACAAGAACTTGGAATAAATAACCTGTCAAACATGTCATGGTATACTGGAGAAAAAAATGTTTGACTAGAACTCTCTAATTCATCATAATATTCAATTGGAAATCAATCTGTGATAAGAATCACTTTCATTTTGTTAAATTATTTGAAAAATTGATTTTATTCATTGATCATTGAACATTCATTCTGACTAGATTGAAACATTGAACCATCATTTGTTTGAATATTCTTTTTTTTGTTAAAAAAAAATAAGGTATATGTAGGTCATAAAGATGTGATTAGAAAAATTGTCTGTGTCAATAATTATATAATAAGTGGATCACAGGATAAAACAGCTATTTGTTGGAATTTTCATACTGGAGAAATTTTAAACACATTCAAAGGACATACACGTCTTGTCAATGCAGTGGCTTATTTCGGTACAGTGATCAATGTATTTCGTAATGATAATGATAGTTCGGAAATCATTTCAACTGCTGGACATTTTGAACATGTTTATACAGGATCAGCTGATCGTACTGCGAAATCATGGAATCTTAGAACTTCTAAATGTGTTGTCACATTTGAAGGTCATACACAACCAATCACAGCGATTGAAACATATAAAGATGGTGAAATCCTGCTGACTGCTTCTATTGATAATACTATACGTAGTTGGTTTACACAGTCTGGTGTACAACAATTTATATTTGTTGGACATAAAGGAACAATTATCTCGATGCATGTAAGTTTCAATGATTATAATATTAGACAATTTTTGATTTTCTTTAGAAATTTATTTTAAGCGTCAATGTTTCAATTGTAAAGTGTTTTATTATTTTGGGGCACAGTTTTGGAGGTTTGCGTTTTTACACATTTGAAATCATCAATCAATCATTGTTAGACCACCATTAGAAACCTGTAAGCACTGGACGGCTGTTTCTTCCTGGTATGGGACTCATCACTAGTGCGCATCCACGACTCCTGCTCCTCGCAGGAATCGAACCCGGGACCTTTGGCATTGTAGGCGAACGCCTTACCATCGGAACATTGGGCCGGTATCTAACGGTGTTAATGTCTAACTCTGATTGATCTAGGGATTTTGCGCGACCTTACCCATTTGTCTTTGGTAGTTACTGCCTACACCCGACAGGGTTGAACTCCATTGGTCACGTCTTCTCAACTAGAATTCATTATTGTCAATAGTTAACTATAAAAACTCGTTCAATTTTGAAAAAACCACAAATTATTGGTGATTAAAACACTGAATGATAAGAACAAAGAATAATTGTGTAATCCTTTCGCTTTTGGTAGATAAGTAACATCATATTAAAATAAACACAGCTCTCAAGTTCCAAACGTTCTATCTAAAGGAGCTAGGTTATGACTCCTCTGAATAGCTGAAGCCATATTTGATTCAACTCCGGGAGAGTTTAATCTATGTACCTAAAGAGGTAATATATATATTCAACCTGTGCGTTGTACTTGGTCCACAACAGGATCACTTGAAAAACTAGACTCGATACTGTGGTCGGTGGATGTTTTGGTTGTGGAGCTTTCATTGTTTTTTTTATGACCAATAACATCATCAGTAGTACAAACTTCAGATAGGAGAAGTCAAGTATTCGACATTCTGCACGTTTGACTAGTATCTTGTTCTATTAACCTTGATCTTGATTGGTTGTTGTTGACCTTAAATCTGTCGTTGTTTGCACTGCACTAGACTGGATATTTCTCCACGTTTGACCTTTAGCTTATCCTGCTAACCTTGATCTTGATCGAATGCTTCAATTCCATCTGAAGTTTTTGCTGATGATGTTGTTCAGAAGAAGAACAATGAAAGCTCCACAACCAAAACAACTAGCTCAAAGAACTAAACACCACCACAGTCGTTTAAATAGTCTTTATTTTTGAACCATGTATGAGGGATTTTTCAATTACAAGAATAAAAATCCATTTCACATTGAGTGTGTTATCAGTAGTGATTCATTTGTCTAACTGACCAAATGACATAATTAATCGTTTAGTGATAAGTTATCATAATTTATAATTACAAGTATTGATACCATCATATTTTAGCGTAATTCATTCAGTATGGATACTTCGAATAATTTCTGCCATGCTTACTTACTTACACCTATAACCCTCAAAGGAGCATAGACCGCTGACCAGTATTTTACAACATACTCTGTTTTGAGCTTTATAGTTCTGTCCAGTTGTTGTTCATTCTCTCCACGTCTGTCTCCGTCTCACGGCTTAATTTGTTCCTTGGCCTACTTCTCTACAGCTGGCCTTGAGTATTCCAGGTCAGGGCTTGTCTTGCGACGCAGTTGGGTACTTTCTCCAATATGTGTCCTATCCACTTCCAGCTTTTCTTTCTGAGTTATTCCTCCGCTGGAATCTGCCATGATATAGACTTATAAAAATTGTCAGTAAAATGTTCATTTTCAATTGAAATCATGAATTGTTGATTAATATTAAACCACTTTTGGAAACCTGGTCACATTACACAGCCATTTCAAGCTAATTAATTAAGAATTCTATGTTTACATTCTGTATTTGAATGCTGGCTCAGTAGTCAATAGATTAAACGTTCAACTGCAAGACCGAACATCCTGAGTTCGATTCACGCTTGTAAGGTCGTGGCTACGCACTGCTGATAATAGTAGTTTAAAATTGATCGATTCATGTTTCTTAATAAAAATCAGAGATGTCTACATCCATCTAATGATCAACGTTCATTGATTAACATAGTTTGAAATGGTGGAGAAAATTTATAGCTCAGGAGGATGATTGCGGTGGTGTTTCGTTCTTTGTGCTGCAGAATTCTGGTAAACTCTTTAAATCACTTAGTATAAAATATGTTATGTTATTCAGGTTATCATAATTCTATCTTTAATCAATTGAGATATGCTAATGCTAGGGATGCTAAATAGTTGATACAACTCACTGTTAGACGGCAAGTTAGTATCTTTTAAGCATGTTCAGTTTTCAATAAATTTAATTCACTAAACTTAATGCTGTAGTTAGTAGCAAGAGATTCATTTGAAGACCTGGATCATGGTATCGTGATTGTTAGTACCATGTATTGATGACCACTGATTGATTAGAGCACTCAATTAAAACTAAGATATTTACTGCATTTAAGCACTGATTAGTAACGATTGATATAGGAACAGCTTCTGAAGTCATAGATCTCCTCATACACAAAGGAAAAAGTAAGATTTTTTTAAATAAAACACAAAATTTACCAACTAAATCACACTTGACCAAAAAGCTCCGGAAAAGATTGAAAAATTTATATGCCTGGTCAGCATCTTTAATGAACAAGGAGGATTCGATCTAGATGTGAAGACGCCGATTAGTGAACTAAGAGCAGCACTCCAACTATTGACAAGGAACTTAAAACAACTTACCGACAGGCAACACCAGAGAATTTTCAATGCAAATATCAAGAGTGTTCTATTCTATGGGGATGAAACTTGAATAATTGCCAAAACCATCACTATCCAAACGATTCAAGGGTTGGTTAACAGTTGTCTACAGAAGGTGCTACAGATTCATTGGTTAGACACTACCAGCAACAACCTACTGTAGGAGAGAAAAAACCAGATTTCGGCAGAAGAAGAAATCAGCAAGAAGCGCTGCAAGTGGATAAGACACATATTATATGAAATCACCCATCTGCGTCACGAGACAAGCCCGAACTTGGAATCCACTACGAGAAAGGACATGTGGTAGACCAACGAACAAAACTGCTTCCTGAATTGGCAAAAGATATGAAAAAGATTAAGAACACTGGGGGCAAACTGGAATAGACATTGAAGGATATTAGTTGGTTATGAGAATGCTAGCCGTCGGCGCATAATCCGCGATGAGTATAACCGGCTCAAGTCAGTAAGTAAGTTTAAGTACAGACGAATAACCAATATTTTGAATTTACATGAAACCTTTCAATAGTTTGTGTAAAAACCTAATTACTAATCACTTCTCTATTTTATGCTTTGCTTAAATATTACAGATTAATAATAAAATGTTATATACTAGCAGTATTGATCATACAGCAAGATCATGGTCTATTGAAACTGGTAAACCGATTCGAGTATTTCATAAACACAGTCGTCCAGTGAATTTTGTTAGAAATTATGAAGGAATGGGTAAGTTAATGATATTGTGTTACGCCTGCACGTAAACACGTCAACTTGATATACTTGAACTATTACGAGTTTACCTTAGTCGGTAAACGCGAGAGCGAGGATCGAAGATCCGGTGACACGACATGCTACTCAAATCCAATGTCAAGGAGTGACATTAATTTATGGTGTCGAGTATGATGATATTAGAGTATTGAATCTTTCTAAATTAGGTTTACAAAACCCAAATATAATCATTGTCTTTGTAGAATTTTCAGTTCGCATATGATTATAGATTAAACTCTTACCGTGAAACAGGTTCATAAAAATATTGGAGTTTGCTTCTTTGAGCTGGATGTTTTTTGGTTTTAGGGCTTTCATTATTCTTCTGAACTGCAGAGCAAACTTCAAGGAGAAGTTAGGCGGTTGAATTTCACTAAGTATAACTTGTAGCGTATTCTGATATCCACGATCTTGATCGGTTTTAAGGTCAATAACAACCAATCAATTTCGAAAGCTCCACAATTCTGATTGGTTGATAAACTGGATTAATGCCAATATGATAGTTGACTGCCAATTAAGCTAAGTGTCAATCTTCTAAAAGTTTTCTAATGTACTTTGTATTACTTCTATCTAGTATTTCAACATTGTTTCACAGTTGTTTATATGTTTTGATATGAAGAAAAAGATGTCACCGATCTCGGCTACTAACTGATATTCATGTTGGTGAAACTGAAAAAGACCTCCAGTTAATCTGATGTAGAAATTTTTCGCAGTTATAACAGTTTATTTTACAGACGATGGTTGGCTTTTCTTGTTTTGCCGTCTTTTCCTATGGTTTAAATAAGACTGATTGAAATGGTTTTGTTGGTTTGCGTGCTACACCTATTCCAAATAGCTTCAGTAATGTTGCTGTAATTTCTGATATTTCTTTTAAATAAGGTTAGATGGTCTATTCGTTGGTTCTTGTACTTCCTTCCATTTATTAATGACGAATGTATCGTCTATATAGCGAACCCACATTTTTGACTTGAATAGTGGCGAAATTGAGACTTCTCATCTCTGCATCATTCTTCTGCGATAAGTCCTTTTATTGATGATCCCACTGGTGTTTCTTTCATTTATTCGTAGATTTTGTTGTTGGATTGGAAGAACCTTGTTAAGCATACGTTGATAAGTTCCAGTAGACTTTGGAAGATTTGTGTCGTCGGTAAAGAGCAGGAATAGAGTTTCTATAGCTAAGCTTGGTTTGGTTGAAGTGAATAAGGCTGTTACGTCGAAGGATACCATCGTTTCGTCGTTATCGATTTGAATCCCCTTGAGTTTATCCGAGAATTGTGTATGAGACTCAGTGAAGTAGTAGGATGAATCCCCCAGATGTTTTAATGTCCTTCAAATTTCTCTTGATAAGTTGTAAGTCAAGGTTCCAGGGAGGATATACACTTGGATATAGTGGAATGTTGGGTTTATGTTGTTTCGGCCTGCCATAAAATTGTGGAACAATTAGTCCGCTGGATTTCATTCTTTACTGATCTTGTTTTGATATCTGTCCTCCTTTGACAAACTTTTTTAGAGTCCTTAAGATTTGGTTGTCTAATATTTTTATCAGACTTATGTTCATTGGCTGATAAACATTCCTATCTTTGAGTAGTTGCTCGTCTTTCCTGGTATATTCTTACTTCTACATCATTACTGTAGTGTGTCCTTTGTCCGCTGGAACTGTAGCAATTTCGTCCCCCTAGTTATGAGTCTGCTTAAGGCTGTTTGCTCTTATGCTGTTGGTTAAGTGTTGCCTCTCTTCTGTCGAGTTAATGGTGTGGTGCGCGCTACTTATAAGTAGTATATGACGTGAATGTCAACGTAATGTCTGGCAACAGAAGATGGGGGAAGATCAAGAAAGGAAGAGTTAGAAAACAATGGAATTTGTATGAAACACATGAATAGTGACAATGGATTGATGTTTTTCAACAGAAACAGTCCAGTTCGATATGATGAACTGATATTTTGCAAATTACCGATTTTCGATATGGTTTTCCTATTTTACTGAGTAACTCTGTAATTGTCGTTAAATACAATTCGGTTGCCCCACCTGTGTTCTAGTTCACCACAATGATACTGTGGTTTGTCTGATTTCCTATTGAGAACAAAACTCCACCATAATCATCTGTCTGATCAGTACCGTAATTTGGTAAGAAACATTTAAAACTAATGAATTCTTTGTTACTATTTTTTTCAAAACTATTATTCATTCAGAATGGTTTTTTAGTTAATTATACAAACTATATTTTTGTATAATATTTATATACTACTGAAATGAATCTTGTTTTCTAATTTTACAAAATTATTTTCCTAGTAATTACTGCTTGTAGTGATGGATGTGTGCGAGTGTTTGATGAAAAAACTGGTGAATTATTAAAGAAATTAATGCATCCAAATCAAGAAAGTTGTATTACATTCCAGGTAACTAACTCTCGGTTTTATTAGTAAAACACATTTTACTTAAACATACAAATTGAACGTACAAGTTGGTGAGCGATTGTTATTATTATTTCAGAATAGCTGCCTCGTTGAGTTATGTCTTGCGGTGTAGGAGTAGGTTGGAAGAAACCTAGAGGGTGTTAAACCAAAACTTGGCACAAACCCATAAAGCCACTGACAACTAGACTGTGTCATGTTGAAAGATGTAGACTACCTGGTTAGGATTTGCGCGATGATAAGATGTCATGGCTCAAAATCATGTACCTAATAGAATGTTTGCACTAGTTTTCAGAAGGGGTATCGGCCTCGTGACTTTCAAAAGAACTCGGCCTTCATCATGAGACGTCATAACTGTTCTGAATGAACACCTAATTCCCAGGTCAGAGTTTGAATGGCTTGATCATTTTTTCTAGCTGGGGTTCTTCTAGTAAGTTAGTTTTCTAAGAGATAGGGTCACGAACCCCAGCCTAGCCCTCCTTTTTATTCGGATTTGGGACCGTCAGTAGCCCTAACAGGACTCCAGGTAGAGAAATGGAGACAGGCATCAGAAGAATGAACGAAAATTGGACAGAACTGGAAAGGGAGGCCCATCATAGTGTATGTAGGACAATACTGGTCGGCGGAGTATCCGCCATTGGGGGTAACAGGCGTAACTACTAACTACTTCTATATGTGCCTGAATCGATTATGTAATTAGTAGACATATTTGACATGTTCAAACAAAAAAACGTTCTATAACAACAAACGTCATAAAACTATAATTCAAAAAATGAGATAATTTATGGAAGGTAGAAAGAAAGTAGGTAGCTCAGAAATTCAAAGCGTCACTAAATTTGATAATGAATATTGAAATGTAAATCCGTTGATCAATTATTGACTCCTTTTGAGATAGTTTTGTAGAAATAATCACAGTACTTTTCTCTCATCAACGGTTTGTGTTACTTATAAATAATAAGTAGTATCAATAGTTCAATTAAAAATTTTTTTGATCATATTTTTTCGATAGATTTATGGTGACTATTTATTTTCTGCATCCAATGATGGTAAAATTTATATTTGGCGCTATTTCGAATCGGAAATCATGAAAAAAGATGAAGATTAATAAATATACTAGAATGTTCATGTCACCAGAACCTGCATCAAATCGAATCGATTCACTCCTCATTGATCAATATTTCATTATTCAATAATTTGAAATTATTCTCAATAATGTTGTTTTAATCATTACAAACTTTTACAGTTATAAGCACAATAACAGTTTAATTATTTTTTTTTGTTTGAATTAATTCAGATTCTATTTGATGAAGAATAAATTTTGATTATGACTTTAATTTTATTGTTCATATTTGATTCAACTCCGTCTGGAGTCCTTCTGAGGGTTACTACTGGTCAGTCAGTCAGTCAGATGCAACGTAGAACTCCGTACGTAAGTACACCAGTTCATGTTGTCATACTACATCAGCACAGAGATATAATTGTCAATTCAAATCCAATAGTAAAAGAGTTAGTAAGGGTGTAGTGAATGAGAAGACAGGTCGGGCAACCGAAAATTACAGAGTTACTCAGTAAAATAGGAAAACCATATCGTAAATCGTTCATTTGCAAAAGATCAGTTTATCCTATGGAACTGGACTGTTCCTGTTGCCAAACATCAATCCATTGTCACTATTCATGTGTTTCATACAAATTCCATTGTTTTCTAACTCTTCCTTTCTTGATCTTCCCCCCATATTATGCTACCAGACTTTACGTTGACACTCACGTTATATACTACTTATAAGTAGTTCCCACCACAGCACCACACTCGTCCCCCCTTTTAATAAGCTGTCGTCGCAGTCTTTCCGATCTCCGTACAGCCATCTTCTTTATCAGTGTTTGTGGCTCGCCCTCTTGGCGCACTTGGAACCACCTTTGGAGTTCACTGGCATTCACGCGTTTCTGTTTGTTTCCTTTCTGGATCGTATACACTGCGCCGCGCCTCTCGGTGACGACGTACGGTCCCTCCCACTTCGGGATCAGCTTACCTGACCCTGGCCCTCTTCCTGTGGTATATTCCCGTTCTCTACACTTCACCTGGTCTCCCACTTCAAACGGTCTCCAGTTCTTTCTCTCCTGTTCTGACTTCTCCATGTCTGATGTTTGTTTCTCTCGCACATTCCTGATTGCTTGTCTCCGCTCTGTTCTCAATCTTGTTGTATTCCATCTCTGTTGTTGCGGCCAGGTTTTATCATGCGTTGGTAGTCTCGGCCGTCTGCCGTACATCAGCTGGAACGGTGACTTCCTGGTTGTTCCCTGTGCCGAGGCACGATGTGCCAGCAAGATTAATGGTAATTCTTTCTCCCAGTCACCCCCTTTAGATGCTAGCCATTCCTTTAGCGTTCGGTTATTCCTTTCCGTTAACCCATTCGTCTGTGGATGATACGGCGTTGTTCGTACTCTCTTGATGCCTAACTGCTTTAGACGGGACTTGAACTCATCACTCTCGAAACAGGGACCTTGATCGGTTAATATTATCTTTGGTATCCCATGGTCCGCCACACTGTGCCGCATTACCGCTTCCGTCACCGTCCTTGCACGTTGGTCCGCCATCGGCATGGCATTTACCCATGGTGTGGCATGCTCAGTCATCACCAGCAGGTACTGGTTACCACTTGTCGTCTGCGGGAACGGTCCCATAACATCTACTGACCACAAATCACCAACTGCTGTTACTGGAATTGACTGCAATGGCGGTCGTATGCATCGATCCCCTTTCATTAGTTGACATCGCTGGCACGCTAATACATATCGTGCAACATCGTCTCTCATACCTGGCCAGTACGCACTTTGCCGCAGCAAATCAGTTGTCCGTGCAATATCTGTGTGCGCCACCTGGTGACATTCACGAATCATCTCCTGGCGCAGATCTTTTGGGATTATTGCTACCCAATTCTCGTCATCATCCCGCCAGGTCAGGACTCCATATGCGTTCACTCTCAGTCGTTCCTTTTGCTTAAGTAACATTATTACCTCCTTGTCCGTTGTTCGTTTGTCTACGTCTTCTCCTTCTTTTATCACTCTGATTACCTCTTGAAGGTTCGGGTCAGCTTTCTGTTGCCGGATGAGTTCTAATGAGTCTCCATCTAAACTATTCACCGCGTATGCTGTCACTGGAAGGTCATCTTCCATGTCTGATCTTGACAAGTAATCCGCCATTACGTTTTTTTTTCCTGGAACATGGCCGATACTGAAGTCGTATTCTTGCAGACGTATCATCCACCGCGCCAACTTCCCTCGGAGGTCTCTTGCTGTTCTCAACCACTGCAGGGGTTTATGGTCAGTCTCAATGTGAAATCGTCTACCTAAAAGGTACGGTCTCCATTTCTCTACTGCCCACACGATTGCTAGGCATTCCTTTTCGATCGTTGAATACTTCTGTTCGACGGGTGTGAGAACGCGACTTGTGTATTCCACCACTCTATCAGCCTGACTCAATACCGCACCTATACCATGATCACTTGCATCTGTGGCCACTGTAAACAGTTTACCGGGTTCAGGCAGTCGCAGCGTCATCTGACGATCGTCTAGCATGTTTTTGATTCGGTTGAACGTTTGTTCGGCAGCCTCAGTCCATGTAAACTTGGTGTTGCTCAGCAACTTAAATAAGGGCGCTGCTATTTCGTTGAAATTCTTGACAAAGCGACTATAGAAGGCAGCTCTTCCCAGGAACTGTCTCAACTTCCTTTTCGAATTAGGTACTGCAATATTTTTTATGGTAAGAATTTTCTCTGGTAATGGCTTTATTTCTCCGTTTCCCACTTTATGTCCCAACAATATGACGCTGTTTTTCGCTATCTGCGACTTTTCCTTATTAATTCGAAGCCCAAATTCGTCAATTCGCTTTAAGACCGCTTCCACATGCTTGACGTGATCTGTTTCCGTCAGGCTGTATACAACTACATCGTCGCCATATACCTCAACATTATCTAGATTCTTAAGCAGCAGCGTCATCAATCTTCTGAACGTGAACAGTGCACCAGCCAACCCGAACGGCATTCGTTTAAATTGATACTGTTTATCCCGTATAGTAAATGCTGTCTTGTTGCGATCGCTATCTTTTATAGGTAGTTGCCAATAACCTGACCGTAAATCCAGCACTGTAAACACCGTGGCATTCTGTAATCGATCTAATGTTTCTACTACTGTTGGCATTGCGCACGGTTTCAGGTCTGTTATATTATTCAGTTCTCTAAAGTCGACGCAAAATCTATACTTTCCATTGGGTTTCTTTACCGAGAGTACCGGTGAGCTATACGGGCTGTCTGCTTCCTCAATTATACCTTCCTTCAACATTTCCTGGACCTGTCGATTTACCTCGGCCTCCAAATGCACCGGGACACGACGTGTTGTAAATATATTTACTCGGTCGTTCTTTATAGGAATTTCATGCTTTACTTTGTCACAAAATCCATACGGCTCCTCATCTCCAGTGAACAGTTTCGCATACTTTGCGCATAACTCGTTAACGTTAGGTTTCTTGGTCGAGAGGTCCGTTGCCATCCTTATTTCAGCCACTTCGCTACTTTCATGTATTGGCAATGAACCGTACTTTGTGACCATTTTCCCGCTTCTCAAGTCAATTATCGCTTTTACCTCTCTTAGGAAATCTGCTCCTAATATCGGTCTCGATAAGCTTGTGGTTACCACGAACGGGAAATTTATCTCAGCTCCACTCATTTTTACAATACTGTTAGATACCCCCAACACCTCTAGCATATGCCCTCCTATGGTGTGGACAGCTAATGTACATGGTTTAATTGTCTTACATTGCTCTTTGCTTATTAACGATATAGCTGCCCCTGTATCAATCAAACACACTAACTCCTGTTCATTTATGTACACTCTGGCATAAATTGCCCCTCTATCTACTAGTGCAAGGACCTCCCGATTCCTAGGGTGGAAAGAAAACACGTTATAATGTTTAAAATATCGTCGTCGTCGTCGTCTTCTTGGACAGTTTATCTTCCAATGTCCTGCCTCTCCACAAGCGTAACATTTATCGTTCCTTTTATGATTTACTCGTAATGCTGCTATCTCACGCTCTAACTCCTCAATCTTCTTCTCGAAAGTATTTATCTCCTGCTTTTCGCACCCGACCGGAGCTACTGTTCGTGTCATCAGCTGACGAGTCACCTTCGCCAGTTCACCGATGTCCATAGGTTGTGCTGCATTTACTAATCTCAGCTGCTGGGACACAGCGGCAGGCACACTCTCAATAAATTGCGACGCCAACAATTGTGCCTCCGACTCCTCATCGATATTCGGCAACGCACGGCGCAGCAACCTTGTGAGTTCCACAGCAAGCACCAGCGGGTCACCATCAGCCGACAGCCTCGCCAACCGGAACTTCCGCAACGCCTCCTCCCTGTCCACCGGGCTGTCGAACTCGGTCATCAGCCGCTCAACGACCGCCTCCCATGGCGTCTTCCCGCCAGCACCGTCCAAGCTGTCATATACGGCCTTCGCCCTTCCTCTCAGCAGCGTCCCCAGCACCACCAGCTTCGCCTTCGGTTCCTTCACCCCCACCAGCTCCGCCACGGCCTCAAACTCCTTCAGGAAGCCCCGCACATCCCGGTCTTCAAACTCCTTCGGCCATGGAATCTTCATCCTTTGAGTAAGCAGCGACACCAAATGTAGTAAACGAGAACACAAGATGGGGCAACCGAATTGCATTTAACAAAAATTACAGGGTCACTCAGTAAAATAGGAAAACCATATCGTAAATCGTTCATTTGCAAAAGATCAGTTTATCCTATGGAACTGGACTGTTCCTGTTGCCAAACATCAATCCATTGTCACTATTCATGTGTTTCATACAAATTCCATTGTTTTCTAACTCTTCCTTTCTTGATCTTCCCCCCATATTATGCTACCAGACTTTACGTTGACACTCACGTTATATACTACTTATAAGTAGTTCGCACCACAGCACCACAAGGGTATTAGAAGTAATTGGAGTGGTTAGGATTAGAAGATATTATTCAAGAAGTATGATTCAGTGAGAAAAGTTTAGAAAGACAAAACTAGAGGTGCTGAAGAGTCCAGAAGATTAGGATTTGAGAA